TTGGAATTGCAGAAGGTTATTATGTTTAGATGCTTCCTTTTTACAGGACTGAGACACTTTAATCCTTATATCAGCTGAATTTTGCTTTATAATTTTATTTTATCATGCACTAAGTTATTTAATTTACAAGAATAAGGTATTGCTTTAATTTTTCAGATTTACATTAAGTATAATAGCAAAAGTAGGTAAAACATTCACAGTACAGGTGACCAGCAGTATCGAAAAAAATGCTTTGGTCTGTTTTCAATATGTTTATATATTTTTAAAAACATACTTCTAAAGACCAGTAACTGTGAAACGGAGGCTAAAAGATGACCATTTATTTAGACAACAGTGGTAATGAAAACAACTACAAGACTTCTAAAGGGTAAGTAGTGCAATATCTGCATAAACTCCACTCGTGTTTACTTTGCAGAGTAAATCTGCACAAGTGTGCAGAGCAATAGCAGGAGAACATCCAACTTCAAGCAAAATCCTAGGAACTTGCTCATTGGTCCCTATCAAGATCCCTATCACAATCTTTTCTGAACATTTACATGAACATGGAAATTGTAGACCTATAACTCCTATTTTACAACACTTTTCACTATCCACTTGCCAGCTATACCAACCATTGCTAAATCACTCTCACAATGTTACATCATCCATAGCTAAACAGATGAATTCCTCCTGATTAACAATCAATTAACAAATCCAGATTTAGCTTTTGTTAAATGTACTGATATTTCCATACTCTCCCTTTAGTCTCTTTGCTTCTTCACCTTTAAGTTGTTTCTTCCTTTTCTCTGACTTTGTGCCTTGCTCTTTTCTTTCTCGATTTTCCTGCATTCAAACAGAATGACAAATAGAGAGTTAAGTAAGAAAACCTACTGGAGTAAAAGCTGGCTATGATTTGCAATGAGTAATTCTAAATGAGTCTTATACCCCCTTTTTCAGCTGCAGCAGTTTGAGGGCAAAAGCCAGACCGTTCTGATCAATGCCTCAGGCCTTCTCTATGTGATGATGTTACTAGCAAATTAGTTCATTAGTTTTACCTGTAGAGATTCATCTATGAACTGAAATGCATTCTTAATTAATCCCAAGGATCACAAAGCACAGCATTAGTTCAACTTAATTAGCATTCTAGATATTTATTCCATAGCAACTTTGATTTTATGAGAGTTGCGTTCAGGGATTTCTACCAGAAACTTCAGGAACTTGTCAGTCCATTGAACAACAATCCACAATTCCTCTTTAGACACCCACAACTTTGCCAGCTGTATTGCTGCCCTGGTGCTCAGCAGCAGCATCCAGGCTGCAAATTTGTTGGTGCCAGTCCTACAGCTATCAGGATAACTTATCCTATTGGGACTCATGCAGTCAAATGGGACCCTGGTTTCATCAGACCTGCTGGCACAGGGATGCTGTGAGCAATGGAGGAAGAGAAAGAAATCCAATGATTACTCTTAGTAAAGGAAKACCTATATTCAATGGAGGGATATTTCTGGATTTAGACAAGTAGCACAGTGGAGAGGGGTAATTCTGAATGCCTAGGCTAACAGCAGTAGAACATCAAGTTCATTTTCTTAACAGCTTATGCAATCCCTGTTCCTGAGCTGCAATCATCAACAGAACATTGCCATCACCATCTGGAAGTCCACCTGCTTGCAACAGACACCAAACTGGTTGTAAAAAGATCAGTTATTGGGCCACTTGCCATGGCTTTGCGAYGTTGTGAGGAGGATGTTGCGAGGAGGATGTTGCTGTGTCACATAAAATTTAATAATTTCCACGAGGATTTTCATTTGCACAGACAGGATTCTTCATGAGACATATCTGCTCTCCTTTGCGGATTTTGACAGCAGCAAAGCACTGATAGATTTGTTGATTGTCATGGATAAGTTCCAGAAAACATACACAATTTCTTAGAGTTTTTACAGAAGGCAAAATACGAGGAGCTTTTGGTCCTCAGAAATACTTCCAGACAAATAAAGCAAAGGTGTGAACATAAATAGAATTARTCTCTCAGAATTATAGAATTGTTATGCACACTTTCGCTGGATGCTTGGAGAAGGAGAGGAAACTGGTGCATTATCCAGTTAGCTGGATTCACTTGCCTTGAAGAAAGGGTTCTGCTGAAAAATGAGATACAGGYGGTGAAGTCTTATAAAGAAGCTAGAAACCTTTCATCATTGTATGACTCCTRTGTGTTCACCTGATAAATTCCTGCTGTGTTTTAGAATGTTTCCTTTGAGATATTTTGGATATTGAGAGACTTTCAAAGCTGCAGGTCCTTGGAGAATGCCTCTATGTTACATTGCACARAAAATAAAAGGAGGTGAATTCAGGGATACCTTGTTCTGCCATTTGAGCAGAACACTCAGTAATGAAAACAAACCAAACCCCATTAGGAGTAAATCTATGGACTGATCAAGCATAAATTGAATTGTTCAGAGACAGATAGAGAGGGGAATAAAAGTCATTGGTGATTTGACGCAAGCACACTGCTAACAGAGTTTCTTCAATATGAGAAAGCSTACTAAGGCAGAAGAGGAGCAAGGAGGAGGAACAAATGCCCACAKTCCCTTCTCCAGCTCTAGAGTCACTAAAGGTTACTATAAGAATTAGACTAGATAAAATTGGGACATTAGATTCTTGTTTGATGTTTGAATTGAAAGATGCTCTGTGGCAACTATTTACCCACATACTATCCAGCATCCTACTGTCTCCAGGTTACTTGTCCAAGAGAACACAACAAGCARCAGAACTGGCTGTTTGACATTTGTGAAGAACTGAGTACTTCCTTGAACGGATTTTATCGTTTTTCTCCTTTTTCTGAGTTTAGATGGCCTCTTTATAGAGCTCCCCTCTTTGAATAGCTGTAACTGTAAAGGGAAAAATCAAATGTTTCCCACATGCTCTRTAATTACATAGTATTTCTCTTCCACACAATTTTAGAACTCTGTGCATCTCTAATACTGTACTATAACTTCGAGCTGGGAAGCTATTTTCTCCCAATCTTCTTCCTCCTGCCATCTGCTCCTTTAGTTCTTCTCATAAATAGACAAACATACAGCCTGGGTTAAAGAGAAGCTATTTTCACTATGCCAGTTGTAGGGGTCACTTGGGTATTTGAAAGACAATTTTTTTCTCATCAAATAGATGGAGAGGAATGCGAGGTGCACATTAGATGTTTTGTTTGTGTAGATCAGTCCTCATTCCCAAAGGATAAGAAACCAGAAAGAATCTTCAAGAGACAGAGGGAGAAAAAAAAAAATCAAAATAAATTTGGGTAAACCTGGAAAGATGAAATACCACAATTTATCAAAACAATTTCCTTAATTACTTGGTATGAGAGTGGAAAGCCAGCATTAACTATTTTGGTATGCCAACAGACCTGCTTTACACAGAGCACTTATCTTAAAATAAAAACCACATGTTAACCAAATGACAAAAGCCTCAAACAAGATGATGCAGGTGTCTGATTCTAGTGTAAAATCTAAATAAGAGAGTAATAAAAATGTTTTAAAAATTGAAAGYGCAAACTATTCAGCAGGTTGCTGTTCTGAGCACATTGAGTATCTTTACTATAGTGACAGAGAGAAATGGTTAACAGCTGTGGTATATCTGAGGTGAGGTATTGATGAGAAATTGAACCAAAAATAGATAAAAAGGAGGTTACCTATCGGCTARAGGTAAAGCAGTTTCTTTTCATTTGCTCCAACTTGGCTGTGAACAAGCAGAGAAAGAGAGTTGTTCGTGTCTGCTGCGACATATTACATAACCTTTATTGGGACTTCTTCTTTCAAAGATCTTTGGTAACAAGAATTACCCTTCACGTTAATTTTCCAGCATGGCTGCATGTAGATGTTGAGCCATTATCCTCCTGACTCTCTCAATACTTCATCTCATGGCTGAACTTTGAGAGTCAAGTTTATAGCCAAATATTCTCTGACTGATAGCTTTTATTTTTTATTTTTCTTCCCTCAACTATCCCCTCTTTTCTGTACTTATTTATTTTTATACCTCCAAGTATACTTATTTTTATATCTCTAGGTAGAGGGAATATTATTGGATCTCTTTTTCATCTTCTATCTCCAGAAGCTTTCACAGAAGTTTCTTCATTTGGATCTAAAACACCCATCAAGCATCTTTGCTGACATTACGCAGCATAGATGTCTGCCTTACAGCAATACTTTGCATAATGTGCCTGAAAATGCCTTTTTTCTGTAGGAGACAAATTCAGTCTTGTGCTCTGCAGGACTCAGCTCGGGAGCAGGTTGTTACTACTTTAAAAGAAATATGTGAAGCCACTATGAAAATACTAGAGAAAAAACACTACTTCAGGCATGAAGTATGCAGTGAGATATATTATCTAGAGGATTACTGGAGGTTTAGTAATTAAGAAGAGCTAATCTACACAATCTGTATGGGAAGTTGCTCTTTCTTAATTCTTATTTCAAGGAGTGTTACTTTATGACATCTTAAAGGTATAAATATCATCTCTTGGGAAGTGGTTTTGAAAACAKGCTGATTTGAACTAAATAGATCTACATGTAAACATATCTTGTACAGGCTTTGCCTACTGCACACTCCTTCTGTTTAACCTGCTAGGTTGCTCACTCTTTCACACATCACTAGCTTCTATTCTATTGAGTAATCTGATTAGTAGTTTTACACTGGAACCAATCTTAAAGGTATTAATTCTCCACACCAATTAAAAGAGTACATCTTGAGTTTGCCCACATACTCAATCCTTGATGTTGACTGCAAGCGAACAAGCAACTACTTCCATTTACTCCTGGAGCCAGGGTTTAGGTAACACAACTTGAATAAAATAAAATAAAAAATAAAATAAAATAAAAAATAAAATAAAATAAAAATAAAATAAAATAAAAAATAAAATAAAATAAAAAATAAAATAAAATAAAATAAATAAAATAAAATAAATAAAATAAAATAAAATAAATAAAATAAAATAAAATAGACATTCTAAGACATTCTTGTTTGTTAAGCAAAAGTCAGTCCCGCTGTATTTCTAAAAATTCACAAATACAAACCACCTGTAAGGCCTTGAGGAAGAGCTCTCTGAAGGTTTTCATTGTGATAAATAGATCTTCCAAGGATATTTTTTTTCGGTCTTCACACAGATAATCAGCAAGTTCTTCCTTCTTCTTTTCAATGACGGCAAATTCCTTCTGCAGGTCCTTGGAAGCGATAATACTGCCCTGTGACACAGTTTACAACACAGTTTATACACATTAAGAAGTAATATATTCTGAGCTACCCAGAAGACTCAAGTTAGTTAAYGCAGAGCAACCCATTTTTAAGGAAGTGACAGTTAAGATTGTAAACCAATGTACAATTCTTTCTTCTTAATTGAGCTGTTTGCATTTCCCATCCCTTTTTTTAGGCCCCAGAGCAACTCATTTTATGTTGTTCCTTTCATCATACATCCACATGGAAATTTAACTCAGCCTGGGATGACTAATCAAGAGATTCTATTTAGTTATATAACCCCTTTTTGAGAAGAAGAAATGGTAGAATCTGAAGGATATTTGGGAATATACACAGGGATAAAAAAAAAAAAGAAAAAAGACTGTAAATCTGTTCACTTTCTTTTTTTATTCCCCCCGCAAAGATCAGCTAGTCAAAATATGTTACTGTACTGCACTATACCCATTTATAGTTGCATCCTACATTTCCTTTTTAAGGCCTTCCTTTCTTTTGCCCACACAGATTGCTGACTGATTCTCATCTGTTTCCTTTTCATAACACCACATTACAGGCATGGAAAAACCCCAGGATGCGTCTTCCACAGAGGTGAAGAGGGAGCGTGGTTATGATCTGCTTCCTCCAGAGCTGTTTCCATTTGCAACCCGCAATTTCAGTGCCTTTGAGAAACAGCGTTTTGAAGGGTCTGAGAAAAAGAACGGGAATTGTGGTACACCCACTTCACCTACTTGAATAGATTTTCCGTGCTGTATTTTTAAATCGTCTGTTGACAGAAGTAAACGCTTCTCTATTTCCAGCAATTTCTTCACRTTGGCACCTGCTTCAGCCCGCATAACTTCAAAGTGGATTCTGAAATGTCCACAAAAGGGAAAGTAAATTAAGGCAGCAAGTCTTTTAAGTGATRATTACAGACAATATTATCTCTGCAAATGAATAGAGGATAAATTGCCTAATGCAGGCTTTGCAAATAATTCTCCTCCACTTTGCAGAGGGCCCCTTTTTAAGGTTCTAAAAATTCATCTGAGGAAGATATTCCCTTTGCATTCCCACTTTGCATCCTTTTTTGCACATCAAGCTCCCACTGCCTCCACGGGCAGACTGTGAATGTCTTACTGTTCTAGTATTTATAAAATTTCTCCAAGGCTTCCAGCGTATTTTTATTCATAGACAGTTAACACTCATCTCCTTTGTGCCAATATTGTCTTTACTTAGTTCTTTTCCCTCCCTGCTGTTTTTCTCCCTAATTTATTTATAGTCAGAAACTGTATCTCTTTTCAGACTTCATTTAGCTCACATGGAGACCCAAACATGCATGTTGCATAACCAACACGTTTTGCTGTTCTGACCATCTCTTTGCAGAGACACGAATCCAAACAAAAACTACTGGATCAGCATTACATGACTTGGTGTTTTAAGGTGCATTCAGACGAGTGAGTGGCATTAAAAAGGCCCCTTGGAGGCTTTGCTTTGTAAACAGCTCTCCCAAGGCTGATTAGCAAAACAATTTTATGGCCTTGAGAGTTTGACTAAGCTATAAATTACTTACTAAAAAAAAAAAAAAAAAAAAAAAAAAAANAAAAAAAAAAAAAGAGCACATTTATATTAACTAGGAGGATTTAGATTCAGACAAGTCTTTCCATTATTACACAAACCCAGAGAAAAATGCCGGTTTCAACCTACCATCCAGTTTAAACTCTGTGCAGAGAACTTGTAATGCTTTCTGCTGCATTACTGAGTCAACATAATTTTTGAATTAATTTTAAATAGCTGTTTAAAAATATCAGTATGTCTCCAGATTGCTGTTTACCCCAGCTTCTAGTTATAAAAAAAATTAAAATACTGTAAGGTTACAGAGTTCATAAAAGATTAAAAATGCTAATTCTGAGCTGTAAATTTGAGTTCCTGCACAGTGTAATTTAGCATATCCTCATGTCATTTTTCTGAGCTAACTAGGCTGAGTTGGTGTTAAATTCATGAGGCTTTCAGGCACATGGAAGGAAGTCTGCAGGAACAGGCTTCTTCTTTCCACCCGCATATATACTGTGCTGGTATTTATCTCTGGGCCTCGTGAGGTCCCTTGCTTGCTACTGAATTGTCCCTGCTGTCCTCTCCCCACAGCAGCTCTGCACATGCACCTCCTGAGGGGCTTGTTCACAGATGAGACTGGAAAACGTAAGGGAAAATACCATTTCTATTGCCAACTATGGGAGAAGAATCTGGTGTTTGAACAGGAAGGTGTTAACTCCTTGCAAATCCCACTGAGATACATTGGAGTGACTTGAACCAAAATGCCTTGTAAATCTCAGAACCATTTGGGCTTGGAAGGAAACCTCTCCCACACGGCAGAGAAAGGTTGTGACCTTATTATGCCACCATAAAATGCCTCAGCTCATGTTTGGTTCTAAGGAGATTGGCAATTGATACAGGACAAAGCCAAACAAAAAGTCCTACCCTGCTGCCTTGGAAACTAATTCAAGATCACTGGGAAGCTGCAGCAAATCTCTGTGGTTTCTTTCAACCTCCTAAAATTCAAGTGGAAAAGCAGTTAGTTTGTACAGTCAATGAAAAAGTATGGAAATTTCTCAGAACAGTATCAGGACAAAAATACTAACACTTCAGTTTTGCTTTTTATGAACACTGGGGTAAGTTTAGCCTTTACCAGGGAGCAAACATGTTAAGCAAATCTCAGGAAGGAAACCTAGTATTAACTATCTGAACATTTTATATCGTAGGTTTCCTTTCTGCCCAGGAAACACTGGCAAAGCTCTGACTGTATTTGCAGGCATGGAAGCTCCGTGTAAGGACCTTCTTTTCAGGGTATATTTGAGACCAAGGCACACAAGACTGACTTGACTTCTGTGTCATACCTCCAGAATATGGTGAAGTAGAGTAACGTGGCTTTGGTTTGCTTTTGTCTCTGTTAGCTTGAGCAAGGCACTAATTTTAAAGCCTCCAGCATCTCCACTGTGATGCCCCTTGGAAGATGTAAGAAAAAAGAAAATTGCTTCAGTTTCCAAATCTTGCATTTGAATTTTCTGCTATCTTCAGAAGTACAACAATTATAAAGAAATAACTTTACTTACATAGTTCAGAAAGTTTCCAACTTTAAGAATCAGCTGACAGAAAATTGGCAGTCGGTGACTAGTAAGAAGGGCTGAAGAATAGAAAGGGACATTTTAATAAATTAAATGAAGTATTCTGAAATAGAATGTTCCTTAGGTATGACAACAGTGTTAAAACATTTCTCATCTAAGATTAGGTAAAGCCAGTATTATTACGAATTTGGAAAAAAAGAACAACATAAAACTGGTTTATACAGAGCATGAACAGAAATAATTCAGATGAATGAAAGCACAATGAATAAGTTTATTTTGAGGTATCTTCCCTAATCTATAAAGAAAGCTAAATTTCTCAACAATTTTAGACTGTACACATACCATCACTGCAACCCCTCATGAGGAACAACTACACATGAGAAAGTATTTAAACTTGAGGTGGTCAGTAGCCATCATTCTCAGCACATATTGCTACAGGTAAAAAAAAAAAAAAAAAAAAAAAAAGTGAATGTTCTTTGGCCTCATAAACAGCGTTAATGAGAATAATGAGAGGCTGTGCCTAACGACAGCAGAAACTGGAATACGAACAGCATTTTTGGCAGAGCTAGAACAGAATTCTCACCCACATTCTGGCCCACACTGCTGGGGGCTGAATGAGACTGCAGAAAGTTGTTTGTTAGGACACAGGAGCTATAGTACTGATGTCAAATAATCTTGTATGGCCAAATTTTACATACAAACACATAAAAAATGCAGCAGTTGAACTGGCCCATAGGAAATCAGGACTGCTTAAAGTTACGGATCTGAAGCTATAACTCAAGAGCTAATTTAAAAAAAGAATTGAGTTACAATCAAAATGGTAGCTGATTTTGTATGGAGGGAGTTTATGAAAGTCCAACCCACAAGGATTATGTGCTCTGTAAAACARAACAGATTATGTTTTGTTATTCTGACTGGATCCATCAGAGAGCTAGCCTGGGCTACAAACAACTTGGAGAAGAACCTGGAACAGTTTCATTGCTATAAAAAAATTTTCTGCTGTGCACATAAATTCAACTTYTATTCAAAGAAAATCTAGAATTTGCATGTAGAAAATTTCCTTCTTCTCTATAAGGGACTGCCGGTAKGAATGAACTAACATGTCAGCTTTATTTAGCTTGATAAAAGCTCTTCAGAATAGCACGAATTGCAACTCTGCAGAATGAACTCCGGAAACAGAATCTGTAGACAGGGTTTTGTTATTCGCTATATATTCAGCAATTAAAAGGTTAATTTTGATTAGGTTATAGAATATGATGTGATTAATTCTATTTAGATAGAAGTTTTCTTTGCCTGAGCACTGGACATAAACACATCACCAAGGTACTTACTTTCACAGGCTCCCCTGATTGCTTGTGCTTTTGGCCACAGACAGTCCAGCAGATTTTTTGTTTCCTCACATACCAGCATACATTCAATCCGCAACTGGTAGCTAGGGGAGTCAGTAAGAAAAAAGAAACACAAGCCTGATTAATTGTCTCAAGTCCAGTGAAAGAATTTCCCATTTTAGGCAAAGAGCTGCACCAGTGTTGTTATGTTACCTTTAACGCTCTGACAAGAGAGAGTTCTCATTGAATTGGAATCAAATCCCTACATGTTTCCAAAAATGTCCTAGAAACAATTATAACCTCCTCTTTCAGGAAGCAATGTTGTAATCAAATCTGGCAGTGACTTCCTTGCATAACGAGGCAATAATTTTTGACGATTCCTGGACAGCACAAGGCAGGGCTTTTGTTATTCCTTTCAACTTCTAAAGCAGAAATTCCAACTACTTTGCAGTGCTGTCTTTTAATAGTATCTTTATGGCTCTTCATTGTGGATCAGTGTTGTGGAAGAGCCATGAAAATATTTTATACAGTGCTTTTAAAGCTAGTTATAACCTTGAGAAAATTAAAATCCATGTTTTCTCCAGCACATTTTACCACAAATGGCTGGAAGATAGTCAAGTTTTCACATTTCATGGGGACTGTTCCTTTGATTCACAACATATCACTGTGATATTTTGAAGAACAAGAAGTTTTCTTTCTGTGTACCTCATGTGGCTTGGTAAAAAAATCAAGAGTTGGTCAAATCAGAGCCACTGATATAATTTACTCATGGCTTTGTGGGCTCTTTTTTTTTTCACAGACTGAAATCTCTAAAATAGAGACGGAGAGAATTGGCAGCCAGCATTCAATCTGTAACTACAGATATATACTATCATACAGAGAGTAACTGCGCAACAGCCAACAGTTTTCTCGCTATAATTTACTAATACCTAGGTGAATTTTACAACAGTTTGCCGAAGGCATCAGAAAATCTGTTTGGCCTTTGGGAAGGAGAGATTTCTCACCCATTACTAGTAGAGAACTGAGACCTCTCCAAATAGCCATCACATGAGTTCCCCTGAGGATTGAATGTTACAGACATCCTTCTAATACAGGAAACAGAGAATTCCTATGGATTACCCCTGTAAGACACATGCACTCACAGGCAGAAGTCAAAGAAAATTTTACTTACTTAGGAACTTCAAGGAGATGGAGATAAAATTGATCTGTATTTGCTAGTTCAGATTTTTCTTCTTTGCAAGATTTCAGGCTATCTATCTAAAAAGGAATGAAACAGTAAAATCCCTGTAAAATATTGTAAAATATTTCTGGGGCCCTAATTGCTTCTTACAGAGACTAAGCCGGATTTTCTGAATTATCTGTGTGCACAGGCTTGAGGCAGGTTGGCCATAAATCATACAAGCAAAGTGGTTTGCGAAGACAAGTTTATAGGTAAATCTATTAAGCTTTACTTCACCTGGAAGACTATGATTGTACAGTTTCTTGTATGATAAATCCTTGTTTTATAGGCAGGACTTTAGCATGTTATGGTGCAGCTAAGCCAGGCAATCCCTTTAGAAAAATGGATGCCAACACCTCTCAACTGAACTCTACACTGAAAGTCTGTTTCTTCACCCAGGTTAGCAAATGCTAATATATTGCACCTGTTTAATTAAAATAACAGGAAGCAAAAGCAGGACTCATCCTTTTGGTGAGTCTCACAGTGTGCTATTGCCTCATCTTTGTGTCCATTGACTAACAATGAAGAGACTTGTGGGATCCGGTCACAGTGTCGTGCTCTACCAGTGGAAATATCTGTAGGCAAGCACCAGGCACACTAGGTCCAGCAGAAGCCACGTGATGATAGATACCTCATGCTTTTCAGGCAGCAGTTTAAGTAGCTGCTTTATAATCTCAGCATCAAACTTGGATCCATCCCCTTTGTGAATCATTTCAGCGATCTCTTTATTGGAGCTGTAGGAAAGAGAGATGGCAAGGATCAGCTGTGTAAAGGAAGGTAACTTGAAAAACATAGGAGAGCACATTCCCATCATAGGAATAGGAATCAACATCACAGGAATAAAGGACGTTATTCATATTGCACTTGCCTCCCATTGCTTTTAGGATCTCACTCCTGAAAAGCATGAAAAAGCACATTTTTGAGGGAAGCTTAAAACTAATTTTGTAATAACTTAAGTGTGCTTTCCRAGTTTGGTTCATCATCATACAACAAACTCAGAGTCCTCTCCTTTTAGTATGGGCATCCAGTGGCACTAAGGAGAGATTTACTCCTTATTTTTTTTAATACTGCTTTCAGTGAAGCCAAGGTTAAAGCTGCTAGCTCTTCTCCTGCTGAGGGACATTTAGGAAAATCCCAAAAAGTTTCATCCCAGATCTACTCCTAAAACGCTGGCAGACAATATGTCTTTTTAATGAACCCAAGCTGCTCTGATTTGTGCTTTGGAAACATCAGCTCCCTGCAGCTATCACTGCTAGTAGAGGAGGCAGCTCAGTACAGAGCAGTCTCATCCCGCAAAATGGGAAGTGGGGATCAACTCCTTGATCCCACAGTCTCTATCTGCTCCCAGGAGGGCTTAAATGCTGCCCAGGAAATCATGTAGAGAGTGAAAAATAGCAGCTAGGCTGCACAGAGCTATTTTACACCACTAAGCAGAGCCTGTAAAAAAAGAGAGAGATGAAAGAAAAAATCTTTCAGAGTAATTCTGATTTATTCTTAACACAAAAGAATCTCTAGGCCAAGTTTTCTTTCTGAAGTCCTTGCAACATGGGACATAGCACAAGGGGCAGGGAGAGATCAGAAAATCCATCTTGATACTGCAGTAGTTTAGGGAATGTCAGTGAAGAGATTTTGCCAAGAACTACTGTAGCTTCCAYTCATTTTCTCTTTTTAATCCTTGGGAGATTGTGACTTGGTGGACTTCCATTTATTTAATTATGTAAACTATTCCCTCTTTATAGATGATCTGTGAATAAAAAACTATACATAATTTTGGATTCTGGAGATGTCTCTTCAAAATTAACTAGCTACAAAAGTAAATTGGATTTCTCAAGTAATGAGTCCTGCATACAAATTATATTTGTGTCAATAATACATAAAATAAATACTTTCCTACATGACTTTGCTGGTATTTATAAATATTGCCTCTTTAGGAATTAATGTTGTTCCATTTTAGGTTTAGTAACTGTTTCCAACATGGTATTAATTACCTGGGAAGAGTTTGATGCTGTCACATCTTAGCAGTTAAAAAAGTTAACTCCCTGATAGATAGCAGTTGTAAAATCTCTGCTAAGTTTATTTTATGTGTTTGGCATGTTTATGTTTATTTAGCTTACATGCTGAATCAGAGGCTACTCTCCAACACTTACCATTTAAATTGCTTCAGAAATATATTCAGCAGAAGACTTTTCTTTAGACCTATGAATGTAATCTGGCAAAATTAAAAAAAAAAAAAAAAGAAGAAAAAAGGCAGTCACCTAGACTGAGTTTTTGTGCATTTGTTGGCAAGATTAATTCCTCTTCAATAATAACATTATCAACACTATTCATAGCTGAAATGTGGAGCAATTTACAAAGTATATATGTCATTAGATCAGTTTTAGAAAGAATCAAAGACAAAAGCACAAAGGGAAATGATTTGTCTAAAATATTCCAGTTTATAAGAATTAGCACTRACTTTTCCACATTCTTCCATTATAAATGTAAGATCTGTCCCTTGGCAGATCTAATTCAGCATGTCTAATCCTATACCTATCTATTCCATGCTTTTATTAGTGTTAGTTTTAGGAGGTAGATATCAAAATCTTCTACTTTATTATAAAAGATTGACAACAATAAAGAGTGAGTAAGCTATTTCTTCTCTAAAGAACCTCGATAGGCTATTCGACAAGCAAGAAAACCTGGTACCTCTTTTGATTTCTTTATTTTTGGCCCTGTTTTCTCCTTATGTGCATCTGGCGGAACGCAGAAAAGCAGCTCCAAGCTGGTGTAGTCAGGCTCTACAAGCTCCTTGCTGCCACCTGCCACTGCAGTCCACATGGAGCGGCTTTCTGGAAGAGAAGGATGCTTCAAGATGGACCTCAGAGACAGAGCAGCATTTTCAAGCAGTGAAACTTGTAGCAAGGAAAGCTCTTTAGAGGATGAATGAAATACGAGCCTCATTAGTCCTGGGCAAATGTTAATAATTTAAGAGTGACAGCTCCCATGGAGAGCATCCCAAAGGTTTGAAGGCTAATTAAACCTGGAAAACTATCACCACATGTGGTTCACTGGGCTGAAGGCACCAGATGAACATTATGGATTTCTCCAACTTCTTTTTGCTGTTGTTGATAGTCTACATATTACACAATTGTGGTACCTACACAACGGATGTTGTGTCCTATTAGGTARCCATCTCTCCTTACAGGAGATGCGGACTCCCAAGCCCAGCAATATTACCACAGTTGTTAGGAACCATCCACATAACATGTGTTACTTCAAAACATGAAGTTAGCTCTAATACTAAAATTTTTAACAAAATATTTYCCCTCCTTTTCCTTCAGGAGAGATTGCAATACTATTTCTGAAGGCACTGAGAGTGAATCTGAATTTGTATCTCTGCATAAGAGAATGGACAGTGGGTCACCCTGCTTTTTGCACACTCATTTGTGTATTTTATCAGAGCAACAGGTTCTTACAATGTTCACTTTCGATTTTTCTTAAAGAATCTCTGATGTCCTAACAAGCCGTTTTATTGGCAGTGAGCACAATGAAAAACTCTTACAAGTTATGTGGTCTTGAACTGAATTTTAAAAACTGCAGTAGAAATGGAAACTGCATTCCCAATTTTACATGAGGGACATATTCCTTGCCAAAAGATGAAGAGGTCTTGCAAGCCCCTTTGACAGTCTGTGTATTAAMCATAGACCTTAGTGTTTTTGCAGCAATGTGAAAATCAATGATGATGAAACATGAGTTCATTTAGGAGAAACCACAGGCCATTACTGTTCAACAGATCTTTCCACTTAATGGACCTCAAAGCATTTTGTAAACATTAATTAGTGCAGATTCACAACATCTTACATCTTAAAAAATCAGAGAGAGAGGCTAAGTGGTTAAATAAATGCCACTTCTGGCAGCAACAGACAGAGCTGGACCTTCAATTCTGTACATTTTTCCAATCTATTCTTTCCTCCACTTGTCAGCCAATGCCAAGACTTCAAATTTATTAGTATTGACTAATTTTTCAAGGACTGAGAAAGAGCATGAAAGAMCCAACTGTGCAGTCTGACTCACAAGGATCTAACCCTCAACCTTAATATTTTTTGTTTAGACGTGAAGCAAACAAACCCACCAGCCCAGTGTTACAAGCACGTACGTCTCACCACGTCAGAGGGGAGCTTCTGCCAGTGGAACACCTTCATCCTCAGCGTTGGTGTCTTTGCCTTCTTAGCGCAGGGCTGCCTGGTGCATCCACAGGTGAGGTGGCTGCAGTCGGGATCACTGCACGGCGGAGGTGGTGGGAGAGGCAGGGCGTTTGTGTCCAGCCTGGGAAGCRGTGGTGGGAGCATCTTGCATCCAGGGGGTAGGGCTGGAGGGGCTGGCAGCGACGGCTGCATTGCTGGTACAGCAGGCTGTTGCGGGGAGGATGGGGAAGCCCCTTGCTGGGGAGGTGACATCTTCCCAGGAGACTGTTCTTGCTCCTTGGAAAAACAGGTTAGTGGAGAAAGGTTCAGATGAACCCTGGGGTTCTCTTCTTCCAAATCCATGTCAACTTGAATGCATTTGTTCACTTTTTGAACAGATCTCCTGGGCACTGAATTACGGCGAGTGGGACACTTCTTGCTTGGCACTGTGTTCTCCATGGCTTCCCTGGTCCCGTTCTCCTGCTCTACGAGACAATGGTGAGGTGCAAGGATTAGCAAGGTCACCCCCAGCTGCCAGCTCCTGTTAACTGCCACAAAGAAAGAGCAAAGCAACAGYAGCCTTCCACCTAGGGCAAACAGGAGAAACATTTCTATCTTCCTTACACAGAATACAAGTGACATTGCACTGYACTTTCAACCAGATATTTCAGGAGCAAGCCCTTACCCCAGGGCTCCTTTTCCTCTTGCTCYTTCTACCTCTTTGTTGTGACATGTAAGGAAAGGAAAAACCAAATGCTGTCACCACATCTCTACTTGCCTTCTGACTGCCTTTTCCCCTCTGTGGCTCAGCCATTCAGCAGGATATTTCTTTTAAAGGGGCAAACAGACTCCCACTGTGGAAGTAGCTACAGTCATTGCTGCATGAAGGCAACATCTYATACAGCAGAGACAAAATCATTTCTACACCCTGAAGGGCCACATTACCACAACTTACTTTGACTGCAGGAGGGTGGGATTTTGAGAGAAACTTTGACCTAATAGATTAAACAAGCTACAGCTGAGGAGAACATAGGCTGGGCTCCTAGTGAGCTTATAGCCACAAAGAGAGAGATAGGTAAGCTTAAGAATAGCTAAGATAGTCTTTCTCTTTCAATCAAGTTTTAATATACGGTAGATGCTTACTCTTGTGCTGAAACTATGCAGTTTCTCTTACAGCTTCTTGCAAAAGATGATGGGCTGCAGAAGCAGTCCTCAGCTTGGACGAGTTTTAAATGTGCGAGTCAGTAGAGGTACTTGTAGGCTCAGGGCTTGTGATTGCTCGAGGTAGGAAGCTTCTTTTGCAAAACTTCTGTCTCTTATAGACACAAAGTGTTCTAGGATTCCTAATCTCAGTGGCTATGGTTGGTGTGTGATTTCTCTCCTTTAGCTGGCTTCCGTAGTGACTTCTCAACAGCTGCAATAACACTGGGTGTTAAAGAGGGAATGAGAGCAAACTATCCCAGTGTTAGTAGGGATAGTTTAGTTTAGTTAGTACATTTGCATAGCTTTCAACTGACCATTATTCTCCTAACATCCTAATTTAGGTAGACTTTTGTCTACTTCTGTCATTAAGACSTGCATTAAAACCTGCAATTGACGTATCTCTGTTCCACCGTACTTTAAAACCCCTCCCATAATTTGAAAGTATTTGTCTTTAAAGCCTAGCAGTTTATCCTGGTAGGAGTGTCCAGTTCCTAGGACAGCCTCCATTAAATTGTGAGCCAAAAGCTCTAATGAAAAGAAAGACACAAAAATTTTGTTTGTGGTTTTAATCTTAATTTAGTAAAAAAGTCTTGTATTAAAAGCATTAAATATTAAATCAACTAGAAAATATTCCGTGATTTACATACAAAATGGAATCAGTTAAAATGTGTGCTTAAAATAATTAAACCAGAGACCTATAGTAGGAAAAGAGTATTAAGTGTATTTGCTGTTTACTTGAATTAATTTGTTGTCACCTTCCATAAATATTTGTTCATACAAATAAGCACTAAAATTTTCCCAAAGGTAAACTAGGCTTACATTTAATATATGCAAACAACTTAATGTATCCCCTTCAGGACTCCACAATCTTTGGGCTAAACTTGTACAGATGTTTGTAATTACCCTAGCAGGACAAGTGAGGGATTCAGCTTTGTGAAAGAGCCTAATGAGGAATAATCCACTTTCTGCTAGAAATATTAGCAGTAAAATGAGCTGATAAAAAATTCTTATTAGAAACATCATGTGAAATTTCTGCTGCTTATGTGAATTAATTAAGCTGTTGCAGGAATCAGTAAAAGCCTATTAATTAGGTTTTTTTTTTTTTTTATCAGAATGCTCTTCTAAATTACTACAGGGTTTGGATAAAAAATCTTGTTCTTAAATTCTAATGAATTAAAAATGCTTCACAAGAAAAATAGCTGATATGCTTTGAATGAAAAATAGATTTATAATTATGTACCTTCAAAGATTATACTTCTGAGCCTCTACAGTGAAATCCATGCTGCTAGGAAGATTAAGGCTGTGGTATAACTTCAAGGCATCTTTAACTTACATTGATGATAATATTCAAATGAGTCTGTGGGTATATTAAAGAAAAAATCTCTGCATGAAACTTCTTCCTAAAATATGCAAAAATCCATCTCTGTCAAGAAAATCCCACCTTTATGTGACCAGAGAGGGAGTGGTTTGCTCCTGACAGGTATGAAATTAAGTACTAGTACTTTGAAAGCTACGTTATTCCTTTTGTAGAAGCAACCTGTAAAAATAATTTTTTTTTTTGTAAAAAACTTTTTTGTGTGTGTGTGCATTTACTATTAACAATATTGCTCTTGTGGTGCTTTTCATTGATTTTTTTTTTTTTTTTCATCAACGGTCAAAGTGGTTTCTTTGGATACGATTGTCCCCGTTTTAGAGATAGGGAAACTGAGGCACRGAGGAATGACATGCCTAAGGCATGTGTCAAAAGCTGTAACTCCAGTAACCCAAGTCTTCTCCATCTCTGGTTAGTGCTCTGGCTATCAAAAAGCTATTTAATGTTTGCAATCCAGCAAGTTAACCATTTCTTCCTTTCTATGATGCAGCTACAACTGTGCCTTGATTCTCTCAGACCAAGATACTGAAAGCAAGGGGAGCACAAAGCAGAAGGGCTGGTTTTCTGCTCTTGGAGGTGAAGTCTACATGCTCARTGCTTGTGGGCTAGGTTGTAGGAATGGTCAACAGCAAAAGCTAAAAGGGAACTATCTGTGCTTTGTGGAAGCTGGAGATCCAGCAGGAGCCTTGGGCAGATGGAGCCTGAGCAGCAGACATCTATAGGGGCTAGGTGGGTCAGAGACTAATAATAGCTGGCAGGAGAGATCCTAGGTGGGCTTTGTGCACCTGCAATGCAGCAGTGAAGAAGTTTTGCTTTAAGAAGCCATGTGATGATGCACGTAGAAATGGGGAGGTGACACGGTAGGGCTTGGAGAAAATCATTTTATGATGGGCAGAGAGTTGTGAAAATGATAGAGATGATCCTGCAGAGGATAAAACTGTTGAGGAGTTTTTTTTTTTTTATATCTATCCTTTACAAGTTGCTGCCTGAGATACGGCATATATTTTGAAATGTTGGAATATTTTCCTTTTGAAAATATTTTGAAAAATATTTCCATATTTTGAAATATTCTCCTTTGGTGGGAAGTCTGCTTTAGGAAGTACATATAATTCAGCCATCATGGAGCTATGGGGCATGAAAGGATGTGARTGATAATGAGCAGGTAACGGGCAGACTAGGAGGTGGACTACACGGAACACATGTCACTGTGCCTGTTCATAAAATATGTGCCTGTATTTCACTCATGTATCTCAAAATGAAAACGAATTTCTACAATTATTTTAACTGGGGCTTGTGTTTTTGAAGGCATTAGTGACAAGATATAATAGCTTTTATTGCTGGGCATTTGCTAGGTTTGAGACAGGTCATGGTTTTGAAGAGCTTATCATCTGCTGGCTGTCATTTCCTAAATGTAGTTAAGCTGTGATCTGCACCTAGGCCCTTGTAGGCAGCTGCATGTGTCACAAAAATACACATTTTCTTTTAAAACTACATAACTACATTGCCAATTTTGCAAACAGTAGTTATTCCAGGAGATTGTCACTGCATAGCAATGACAAATACCTTAACAAGCCTATTTTCTATTACTACCTCAAATTTTCCCTCTGTAGTTAAGGTTGTAGACAAGGCAGACTGTTTGCTATAGCATACCCACAGCTTTAAGTGTGATGTGACAAAAACATGGGTTATGATAGAGTTTGTCTTTCGGCGGTTCATGGATGAACTCTCAGGTGTAGGTAAACGTAATCACCATGACTAACGTGTTCACTTCTATTTCATTGCTATGACTGTTAACACATACATATATTTATAGAGAAAGGTTTGGCATGATACGAATTTTATTACTGGTAAGTTTATATGTTGCACTCAAACTCTGTCTGTGTGCAGAAAACCAGAAATACGTAGATCTAGGCTTTATGCTTAGACAGATGAAAAAAGGTCAATTTTCCTGAAAGACAATCTTCAGATTTTTTTGTTTGCTTGTTTTGAATTTTATCCTGTTCCCTCCCAAACAGAGCAGAGGTATTTCTGAGCCCCTGCAGTTATACTGGGTATGAATGAGGACCAAGAGGCACACTCTAGCTGCATGGCATTGGCACATTCTGGAGGTACGGATGCCCTCCACGCCTGGTGCATTGGTRCCTGCATCAGGGGTTGAGGATGAGGGCAGTCGTGAAGATTACGGCAATAGATTTCTCTAATACGGTGAAGATTTTTTTATTCATCTTTCTGTTCACTTAAGAAAAAAGACTTTTAACTGTGCAGTAAAAGGGTGTTAATAAGCAATTCAGCTTGGAAGCTAGAATTAGAATGTAGCTTAATGGTGAAGTATTAGTCTATTGAAGAGAAGCCATAAAAACCACTTGGGTCCTTACCACCCCCACAAAAGAAAAAAAAGGCATCAATTACTTCAACTTTTTTTTATTCTAAAATTTCAAATATTTTATTGAAATTAAAAACAAAACCAAAACAAAATCAAACCCTGAAAATCCATCCTCTTAAACACATCTGAATTTCTGTGAAGTGTTTGGAAATGACTTCTGCTCATTTCTCCCATAACTCAATTTTTTCATGTTGCTGATGTTTAATACACAGTTATTTGACAGCTATAAACTTGTGATGTTCACAGGCTTGTCTATGTAAGGGATTCCACTTGCATTTGCTGTGATAAACTTCCAGATTTTTTGTTTTTAAGGTTGAAACTCAATATTGACTTAAATGAATATAGACCAGTTGAAGTAGTTGCAAGTGCCATTGTTCTTACCAGCAATTAGTTAGAACTTACAGCTGAAAAACTATTGAAAAATCTTTGGGATCATGAGCTTTATATAAAGGTTACAAATGGAGCAAATTCTAGTTGGACAYCTTCCTTTGACCTGCTCTGATCCGGCCCTCCTGCTCTTGCTAAAT